GGGCCTGGCCGCCAAGAGGCCGGCACCGAGCAAGGCTAAAACCATAACCTCTCACCGCCTGCGTCTGCACACTTGCGTGTTGCGTCTGTACGCACACAAACCCAGTACCCCTTTATAAGATCTGTTCTTAGCAGTGGTAGGTGCTCACTCACAAGTCACAATGGCGCTTAAAGGCTATAAGTTCTTAAGCTGCTGTTGCTTATTCTTCATCGTCTTAACAATACACGCGGTAACACTCGCTTCTGCCGATGCGATCCAAGGTTGCGGTGGTTTTGTCGAGGTTCACGAATTTCTTCTTCATCAGACTATGCATATAATATGTTTTTTTTTGCACCTGCATATCGTGGTTGAATAATTTCTAATTTGTAGTGTATTAGTTTCGACTTCTTCTTCTTGTTATAAACTTATAATTATTTAACTTGTCCAAGCGTGATTGTTAACCTCAGGCGAGCTCATCTTTGATCAAGTCAAGGAAGCCAACCGATTCGAAATTGGACTATTCGCATATCACGGTATGAATCTCAAATAGTTTATAGTTTAATTAACTGAAGCAAGTGATGTGGATCACAGTTCGATCACATTATAGTCCAGATTCCATGGAATACTCGTTATAATTTATTCAATGAAAATCCCACCCCTCTCTGCAGGGTATTAGTTACTTCGGTTTGTAAGCTTGTCTATTTTGTCATTAGCTGGAAAATCCTAACTCCCAAGTCATTTATCGTTGAAGTCATAATCTACTTGAGGAATGATAATGAACCAAACAACCCAGGTTACTAATATGTTATTCATATCAAACTTTAGGTTGAGCTGCGTACCTTGGATGGCTTGGTGAAGGATAGAACGCAATGTGCTCCAAATGGTTACTACTTCATCCCAGTTTATGACAAGGTATGGTAATAAACATTATTGGCCTACCAAGGGACTCATAATCATCCGAGTTCGTATGTTTTAATTAGGTTACTACTTCACAAACCGGCTTGTCTCATTTCCACCCTTAGTTTTGGTTAAAGATACARAAGTGTAATGTTTTAATTGGGTCCAGTCGATTTAGTCATTTAGATGACACTCCCTCCATACCAAATAAGCATGTTATTCATGTTAAMATGTCCATAATATCCAATCAAACAACAACAAAGTTCTTGTTCTTTGATAATTTATTTTGGTACTCCTTAATACCGGAAGAATCTCGAGGGGAACAAGACTGTTTTGCCCGCAAAGATGATAATTGTTGACACATTTTGCTCCTTCTCTCTCTCTCTCTCTCTCTCTCTCTCTCTGTGTGTGTGTAACTCCACGCTCTCAAATTACCGGGTAATAATCGAAACTACTAAAACTGAAAATCAGAATGCACTAGAAGAGGTGTAGTTTAGGAATAAATTAACCTCAGTGAAGTCAAWTTTATTTTAATTTCTTGTGGCAATACTGTATGTTCTCTTTGAATCGATTCACATGAAGTTTAAGGTTGTGCTAGTATTTAATATTGAATTTTTTTTGTTAATTTGTTTTTGGCATATTGCAGCACAAGTTACCTGGGTGGCTGGGTGTCACAAATGGTTTCTTGTATTTTTATTATAAAAGTTGCATTTAGAGGCTCAAGTTGAATATGTGTGTTTATATTTTCTTTTTCTTTTTGTTGGGGAAGGGGGTGGCAAAAGCAGTTGTCYTCTTACATAGCTAGACGATTAAGTGGGGTAGTCTCCTTGGTTTTCATTTGCATGATTAACATTAATGTACTGTTACAACTATTAGGTAATGCCCTAATAATTTACCCAAGCCTTTAATGGCCTAAGGTGGATAATGCAGTTAAAACACTGTTAGGAACATTTCTTGAAATTGCAAGCTYTGTTGCCTATGTGTTTCTTTGCCTAGATCATCGTTACCCACMGCACGTTGTATTATTCTTCAGTTATTTCATTTGAAATGATAACATTCATGACGAGGATGAATTTTTGTGCAGGGTTCTTTTGTTATCAAAATTAAAGGACCTGAAGGATGGTCATGGGACCCAGATCAGGTATGTACTTTAGATCTATTAAGTACTCGAGATTTAACTTTCTTTACTGTATCATTCTTTGAAAGGATTTATGAGGTGAAGTATTTTAGGATACACACCACAGAAGCCTGTTCTCTGATGTAAATATTTCTTTTTTTTAGGTTCCTGTGCTTGTCGATCATACTGGCTGCAATGGAAATGAAGATATAAATTTTCGGTTCACAGGGTTGGTCTAGCTCTGTCATTTTCATGCATATTTTTAAGTCTTGTAGAAGTTTATTTTCCTTTATGTGGCTATATGCATGGATAGTGATGTTTAATACTCTCGGTTTCGATTCATACATTATTTCTTAGAAACTTGTGTTCTGTAGATCTTGTTGGACATCAGCTTCTACTGTATGATATCTTTGCAGGTTCAGTATTAGTGGAAAAGTTGTGGGAGCAGTTGGTGGTGAGAGTTGCTCATCTACAAATGGTGGTCCATCAAATGTCAATGTTGAGCTTTTGAATCCCAGTGGGGATCTTGTATCATCTGTTTTGACATCGGTAGCAGGAAGTTACTCTTTCACCAACATAATTCCAGGTTAAAATTTTCTGCATGGACTTGACTGGAAATCATTGTATTTGTAGATTAAGTTTTATCATCTTAAGTACTCAACATGCCTAGTTTTATTATCTTCTGAATTATGGTTGTAACAAAAACCAGTAGCTAAAATTTATTCTTACAGTTTAGTTGATCACTTGCTTTCATTATTTTAATTACAACATTTCTTGGTGTAGGAAGATACATCCTACATGCATCCCATGATGACCTGAATATCAAAGTTGAAGGTTCCACAGAGGTCATCTACATATGCTAGTCTTTTTCTATTATTTTCCTTATCCATTTTCAATTTGTTTGTTTCCACTAAATTGCTATGTGTTTGTTACTCCGGAATGCAAACACAATTCACTTGGTTCTCATCCTGCATATAAACTTCKTCAGGTTGAATTGGGGTTCGGAAATGGTGAAGTTGATGATATCTTCTTTGTCTCTGGTTATGATATTAGTGGATCGGTAGTTGCACAGGTGATTCGTTCTTTCTTTGAACTTTTGAAATGTGAAATTGATCATACTGAGTCCATGATATGCTCTATATTCTAATTGACTGAATTACTCTTCAATTATTTAGTGATGTAGTGATAGCAGTCGAAGAAGATAAATTGTACTATAAACTATTTGATTGGATGTTGAATTACTGTGATTACCGACAAAACTAATGCACAATCTCTATCATRATGTCTCAGGAAAACCCTATTTTGGGGGTTCACTTTTATCTGTACTCTAATGATGTCAAGGAAGTGCACTGCCCACAGGGTTCTGGTAATGCCTCTGGACATAGCACTGCTCTTTGTCATGCCATATCCGATGCTGATGGAACATTTAAATTTAAGTCTATTCCATGCGGTAATATTCTGATTTTCTTCCTCCAATTCCTTTGAATTATTGCACTTAATCTGGTTCATTCAAACAACATTTACTTGTAAAAAGTTTTATGGTACCTTCATGAAGAAAGATGGTCTTCAAGCACTGAGGGGTCTATAGTGGGAATGGATTGCTATTGGGTGCTCACTATATGCTTTCATGTTTTTGAGGGTTCTTTGTGATGTGTTCTACCCTTTCATAACTCACTATATTTTCAGGTATATGGGTTGTGGGATTATTGTAGATTAAAAAATCTACTATGATATCACTACTTCAATAAAGTAGGTGGCTAACTTGGCTTTGTCAGTAAGTGTTAACATGGTTGATTGACTTCTGTTTTCAATTAGTTAGGGTTGATTGACTTCTGTTTTCAATTAGTTATATTATCATAAATATTATTATAAGATTAACCTTGTTCATGATTTCCGATTTTTTCTTTGCGGTGTTGAGGAGAAATCTGATTATTATGTGCATCATCTGTATGCTACATTTTGTGCTACAATGTATTTTTCTTATTTTGAGTGGACTTATTTTTTTTGCTTAACAGAGCACATGATGAACTTTCATCTGAATGTTTGTGTAAGATATAAATAGTTGCCTCTAGCTAGAGCTCTCATTCAAGTGAACTGATTAAAATGTTTTCTATATTGTTTTTTCAGTTCTATTGGTTAATTGTATCACTTTTCTTCGTTTTTTGGATATACTTGCAGGGGCTTATGAGCTTATTCCTTATTATAAGGGCGAGAATACAATTTTTGATGTTTCCCCTCCTTCTGTCGCGGTGACTGTTAAGCATGATCATGCAACAATATCTGAAAAGTTTCAGGTACATCAACAAGATATCAATCTTTAAATTTGCTTGTGAGTTGGGAATATCTGTCATATTTTCGCCTGGGTTACCTATTCCCTACGCTGTTAATCGTGCCGCTATAGCTGTGGTATCGTGGTTCGTGGTTCGTGGTCATTGATGGAATAACGGTGGCAAAATAGCGGGGGAAATYGTGGTGCCACCAATAGCGGCACTATTTACTGCTATTTGTCCTCTACTCTAGCTCGCTCCGGAGCTTGACTATTTTCTTGGTTTTTACTTCTCTAGCCCTCTTCTCCATAGGGTTGTGAGTAGTCATTCCTTTTTCTTATAATTGTTAGTGGGTTCATCATTTTTCAGGTGATTGATAGGTTCTATTCAAATTTATTTTTAATTGTGTTTTGTAAAAGAATTTATGGGCTTTTAGTTCAAATGTGCTTTTGGACAGTCTATTGTTGACTCAGTTAAGACTCTCAAATTGTTTTAATTGTCAGTGGGMTCATCACTCTCATATTATTTTAGTTTGTTTTCGTGTTTGGCCTTTGCATTTTTAATTTATAAACCACCCAAACATTTTTATCAACCAAAGTCTTTTCTAAGTTGATGTTTTGATGTTGAAACTATATATTTTTATTCAATACATATACTATGTTAAGTTATACATACATATAACTCTAATTATTATATAGACCGCTATACCACCGCATTACAATCGSGATAGCTTCTATATCAATTCATGGGCCTGATCTCTATTTTAGATTTTGACTGCCATAACAAGACCTATTCCAAACTTGATAAGTCCTAATTTATCAAGGACAATTAGGATATTTAACTCTCTCGTTGTAACATCCCTTAATTCCTATCTTCAAGCTTGATTAAGTATAAAGAGGGAGATTTCTTGTTTTTGGTATAGAACTAATGGTAACACTTCAATCACTATTTATARGTAAATTCATTGCATTAGCTACTTGTTTTTCTTGCTCCCAAAATGTACTCTTATGATAGTTTAACACCTCATTTTTGAGGATAAGAGAATCTTGACACCTCATGCTTAATATAAAAGAATCTTGCACCTCATGCTTCTAGCTTTTATTTATCATGCTTCTAGCTCTTGCTTGTCATCATGAATTTTGCCAAAACATGTTTCTAGCCTTGACAACTCATAACTAGCTTGCTTTGTCATAAAGAGTAGGCTTGCTTTGTCATAAGATTTTTGTGGCTCATGTTGTTTGTTTATAAGTAGCTTTGTAAGCTAATTCCCTTATAAATATGATAGTTTAATAAATGCTACAGCTGTTGGACTCTTTTAAGAGTACTTAATTTGCTTACAAAATCTTRTWTTTAAGGCTTAAACATTGAGATTTAGCAAATAAAGAAACTAGGGTGTTACAATTCTCCCTTTCTTATAAGAATTTCGTCCTCGAAATTTTACTCAAAAGGATGTGGGTACTTATTCCTCATTTTTGACTCGGCTTCCCATGTTGCCTCTGATCCATGAGAATAGTCCCAATGAACTAATACCAACGATACCTCTTTGTTTCGAAATTTTTTAAATTTTATGCTCAGTGATAGTTATGGGATCTTCTASGGATTTAAGTTTATCATCAACCRAGATTCCTTCAACCTCGTTTCCGTAACATCAAATAAGTCACCAACCATCTTCCATTCCTTACCATTTAGATATATGCAAACTCAAAATATCTTATAACTTGCTATATCATACTTACATTTCAACTTAGTTCGACACAATAGTATCATAAACTTTACATTTGCTRAAGCATTCTAACAATAGTTCAATAGCCTAACACGTATAATTGCTACTATAAGAAGTATATMTCTTCATGTCTGTTTCTTCATGTCTTACTTTGATCTTACGTGAGATAGTTCCTATTTCACCTATCCATCTTATATTATACACATGTAYTAATTCTTCATTCAAGGTTTGTATCTTAAGCGTATTTTCAAACACCACTTCTGCGTCATTCTTTGACAAGGAAACCATTCCGATATTATATCACTTTTTTCCTAAGCACATCAACTTAACTAGGTAATWCTTACCATTTAGATTGATCGAACAATCCTCAAGAATCTCATTAACCTTTGACTGACCACCATCARTGGTTRTTAGTACCTTACTCTTATTCTAGTCGTTTAGCTCTTATATTCAAGTAGTTGACTCGAAGCTTCTAGATGTACTTGAATCGAATAAAACTAGGGTACAATAATTATTGCCAAGAAACACATGTTGGTGATTCCTTAGGCCTCGTTTGCTAT